GGAATCTTAAGTGCAGCAGAAATTTTTTTGTAACCTTTGCCAGATCTGTGCCTTGCCACAATTCTGTCTCTGAGTTCTTCAGGCAGTTCCTTTGACCTCATGATTCTCATTTGCTCTGACATGCACTGTGAGCTGTAGGGTCTTAGACAGGTGTGTGGCTTTCCTAATCACGTCCAATCAGTATAATCAAACACAGCTGGACTCAAATGAAGGTGTAGAACCATCTCAGGGATGATCAGAAGAAATGGACAGCACCTAAGTTAAATATATGAGTGTCACAGCAAAGGGTCTGAATACTTATGACCATGTGATATTTCAGTTTTTCTTTTTTAATAAATCTGCAAAAATGTCAAAAATTCTGTGTTTTTCTGTCAATATGGGGTGCTGTGTGTACATAATGAGGAAAAAAATGAACTTAAATGATTTTAGCATATGGCTGCAATATAACAAAGAGTGAAAAATTTAAGGGGGTCTGAATACTTTCCATACCCACTGTATATTAAAAGTATAATACTGTGCAAATGTTTTAGGCACTGCAAGTAAAAACCCGGATGCTTTCAAAAACTATGCAACTTCATATATAGTGCAGTAAACAGAAAAAGTCCAATTAGTTGGCATGACTAATGCTAAAAGCTGGAGGCTATTGTATTTGTATTTTCCATAGTACTGTACATATTATTAAAATGCAATTTATTTAAATTAAGGTTAGTGGTTCAATATAGGTCAATGAGCTCTGCCACACTGTGAAACAAGATACTGCTTTTGAACTAAAATATCCTCAACCCAACTGTTTACAGCCACATAGTATATTTGAAAGGACAGTGATTGAAATGGAACTTTAGACTTTCTCTCTGCCCTAGTTAGGATAAAATGTTATAACATTGTAGGACACATAGCTTTCTATTTAGGTGATAACTAGGCCAGTCTTTTAAAAGGTAATTTATTTGCCTTATTGATGGTGAAAGTGAATATGAGTTTCTTCTCCAAAATCATACTAAAAATGCTATAAAACATTCCTAGTCTCTGTATCAACTTCAACAATCTACAATAAGCAAAAGAGGTTAGAAATGTATAATATTTATTCAACCCTTTCTTAGTCCACTAACTTACTTGGACATTTGCACCACTGAGAAGTAGCATTATCACTTTCTCTTTAAATACTACACATTTAAACGTTTTTCATATTTAAGAGTCATAAGAAACAGAATTAACTTACCGATCATGGCAAACATCATCTACAGAAATAATATATTCATGTCCTCTTCAGCATATACAAAACATTGAAAACAGGCTGCAGTAATCTCAATGGATTCGCTTTTACCATTAACACCCTCCAGGCTTTTACGGGTACTGGTGGACATGTTTTATTATAGTCAATACTTCTAAAGACTTCAGACACTAAAAGGCCAAAACAAGCCTGCACTGAATATTGATGTACTGCTCATGTGATCATAACCACTGAAACAGCCTCTTTTTCATAATCCATTGTGACTGTAGTGTCCATTGGATCCCCAGTCACCACCTGGCCCTCAGAATCCCAGACATCTGGTTGTGATCAGCTAAGTGACGGAACACAATCCGGCTCAGTCGCCACCTCCTCTTCACTCCCCGAGGTCTCGAAGTCATCACACACCTGTTGCGTATTCTCACAGGGCAGCTGTCTCTGGGTAGTGCTGCAATCTCTTTATCTGCCACCTCCTGCAAGTATTTTAAAAAAGAAATTGTTCATTTCTTGTATTTAAATCATTTGTCAAATTTAATTAATCATCTCCAATAATAGCGCCATAAGACATATTGTGACAGTTTACTTCACAGTCAACTGAGAATGACCTGTGCTGGCTGTACTTACAAAGTGCTTTCTAAACATTTTCAGCACATTTTAAAATTACCATAACAATATTGTTAACCACGATAGTTTTAGTCACTATATTCATGATATTTTCATTATGTTTCATCTCTACTACCTGAAGCTCCTTGGGTAGGATGGTGTTCTTCCTCAGTGCATTGATCCGTAGCCTCTCATCAGCATAGTCAAAGGCCATCTGCCTTCTCTTAACGTCCCTCACCATCCTCCAGTCAACATAGTAACCCCTCACCTGCTCCACAGCCACCCAGCAGCTCCTCAGGACCTGCACACAGTGTTCCATAGGTTGTTACCGGTGGACAGTTAATATCATGTGCCTGTACACCACACAGAGTGAACAGCTCAAACCCTTATGAGACTGGAGCAAAATACTGCATGCTGTTCTCAAATTTTTGTAGATGATAGATTGAAAACTAACAAAATGCATAGATATACACAGAGGTGATATGAATACAGCCCCACCAATTACAATATCCCCACCAACACATTTGTTTGTAATTTCATACATTTTTGTTTATTCGCACTAGTGTGTACTTTGGTACAGAGTCAAAACATGTTCCTTGGGACTGACTCACTCATCACCACCTTGTTAGTCACCTTCATCAAAGCATCAGTTTTTATTCTCTGTAGCTGTCCAGCTATGAAATACATAACCAAAACTGATGGAGGCAAAACCTATTAACTGAGAAGAATCTGTCATTTGTCTGCTGTTTACTGAGGTAAATTATAGCCTAATAATTAGTACATGTATATTTGTAATAAGGGAAAGACTGGAAAATCAAGGAAAGAGAACCACACATTAAGATGTACTGTACAGTTCATCTGTATACTCATACTAAAATGACCATTTGATGACCATGTTTATTTTGTTATAAACACATTTTTTCAATTTTGCAGCACTTGCTTCATCCAGCATAATCGACACCATGTCTACAGTTACAGGGCGAATGAGCTGCTCGGCATTTGACTGGGGTGTGTTGTCATGTCTTCTTAATTTGTTGGGTCTCATGATGTCTGCTGCCAGCGGTTTAAGACACAAGACACACATGGGTCTCTCCTCTGTCCCCACCATTCCCACCATGAATCCAAGCGCAAGATAAGCTTCATCATATTTTCTTTTCGTCTGGCTTTTTGGTTGATAAGGCTAACTGCCTGTTGTTTGTCTGCTTGCCCTCAATCGCTTGCTTTTTTGTGGTCCATGTAATAAATTTATCCATTTACGTTTTTATGCCCAATACGTACACTACTGGCCCTCTGTGCGAACGTCACCTTATATTGTTGCGCTGCAGTTAACATGCCGACGTTAAACCGTTATTGTCGCACCCCGAACTTATGTTATTTTAATTTACTTGTATTAATGACCCATTTCTAATTTTCTCCGTTCATTGTGCCCCACCTGTCATGTCTTTATTCCCCACTAGTGGGGCGCGCCCCGAACTTTGAGAACCACGGCATTAGACTATGGGTTTAAGCACTGAGGTCAGTAGTTAGTGGTGGTGTTGTACTGGACTACATTTCTGCCCCTCTAATATATGTAAAAATTGAGGACAAAAATTAGGCACAGCTCTGAGTAATCCTGTACAATACCATCAACTATGAGCTCAGTGATAAATAGACGGTATAATGCCAATGTCAACAAAACCTGGTAATGTCCCTACGCGTTATCACTTCACTACGAGCTCTCTGACACTCATGACGTTTGTCTAATGGTTTGTCTTCGTTTCAGTCGAACACAGGTAAGGATACATTAAAATGACCTAAAATATCATATAAGGCGCCACAGACAAAACCAGTAAGATACAGTTTTAAATTTCCCCTGGGAACACTTTTTGCCAATAGCTACAAACAGAGAGATAATGATTTAGTAACACCATAAAATACGTTCTTTACTATAATTAGTAGCTAGGCTAACTAGCATTAGCTACGAAGCTAAAGTCAGAAAGATAGTTAGAACACAAATGCTGTCAGCGTTACTTTCTCTATTCCGCTGTCATGGATATGCAGTGCAAACTTAATAAAACACCCAAAACCACAAAATACACTTAAATATTAAGTAAGTTACCTGCTTTTGGACAGAGACAGTGGTATAAAGAGCGTTTAAACCTAAACATGCTATCCTGTGGGCCGCCATATTGAACGATTTGCTGTTAAAAACCAGCGAAAGAGGGCGATAAAACACCCGAAATATCTCCACCTCTTTACCGGGAGTATGAAATGATACACAGTTGGAAAACAAACACGAAAGTTGTGTGAATAATCAAGTTATCTAAAATGTCACTATAGGCTATTATGTTGGGTCATAACATTTAGCAAAGACGGCATGAATGATTGCTGTTCATCAGTTTATCATGCCCTGTTGCAGCTGTGACTTGACTTACAGACTCCAACCTTAGGTTACGACTTGAATTTTAGACCCTTGTGGTACTACTTAAACAGCTGCAGGTGGCACTGCAGTTCTGTGATCATAAGCTCATACTCTCTTTCTCATCATCGACTACAGGAGTGAGATCCCTCCTCACATTGAATCTAAACCTTATGTCTGATGGAAATCTGTTCTTAAATTTTATAAAATCCACTCCTTTTCTCTCCTTACACCCCTAACAATGAAAGTCTTGTGTTTTAAGGAAGTAAATACATATATAAAATAGTGCAGTGATCTTCTTGATACATATGGTTTAGTACTGCCAAAAGCTTTTATAGAATAAGATTTAACAAAAGCAGCAGATTCCATTAAAGGTTTACACTGCCGATTATTTTGGAGCCTTGAGGGAACATGTTCTTGGAAGAATATTAACGCACGACAAACTGTAGACAGTCCTCTGTCAAGTGCAATTGTATGAAGCAGGCTGAAAAATCTGTTCAGGCCCCTGAGCACTGAATTTAATGATAAATGACAGTAAACCAAGTGCATCAGTGTTGCTTTTAGATGGTGGCATTTGTAAACCTGATGCTGAATAATATATAACAAGTCAGCAGGGCTCTTCTGTACAAGAATTTCCCTTCCATTATGTGAGTAAAAATTAGAGTGTACCAATGTGAAAGATCATTTTAGCGCACTGGTGCGAATGACTCTGAGTTCCTAGGGTTGTCAGTTCTAAACAGGTTTTAAATTTGTAAGAACCTGGAGCATTTAATCAGTACCAGTGGATCGGAAAATGGTTTTTGGTGTTTATGGAGCATGCAGCTTCATCAACTGTCATCTGCTGTGTCTATGTTGAACTATTTGATGACAGAGTAAAGTGGCTGCACATGCTCAAATATCAAAATGTAAACTGTTAATATTAAACTACTGACCTTCTGAAGTTATTAGCAAATTTCTATGAACAGGTGAAAACAAAAGCTGACTGTATGCAGCCTATGTTTAACCTACATTTGCTGCATATCTTAAAACTGAGCTAAAGTTCTGTGGACTCTCTGTTTGAGATGGCCCCCATCCCAAAACAGTGGTACCAGTGCAGCAGTGAATCCACATGAGCAGCAAAAGAGAGGAGGATGAATGAATAATAACTGATTTTGTTCTTTCTTCCAAGAATTAAGTCAACAGTTTCCTTAAAAATAAATGAAAGTGCAGAGCCCCGTCTTCATAATTTACCTTATAAAGAAAACCACAAGCAGTATAATTGAGAATTGGGATTATATTTATTGTTACATGAAATGGCAGTCTTTTTCTTTACTTGAGGTCTGTGGTTAGTAGGCAACAAATCTGTTAAAATCACAATAACTGTAAATTACATGTTTGTCAACCAAGAAAATCTTTTTTAGTGTTTGAGAGTAGTAAAATATAGCACTGTCATTCGAAAGTTGCATTATATCATATTTAAGCTGCTTTTTGGCTCATTGTTGAAACCCCTGAAGTGGCTGTTCCAAGATCACTGGGAAGGCAAACTCTTTCCTTCTACAGTGTATTTTACTTTCATAGCATAGAGATGTCAAAGGCATGAAAGGCTCTGAAAAATGACCTGCTTTGAATTGAAGCTTAACTGTGGCCATATGTAGTGACAATAGCAGTAAAACACAATTTAGCAGAACTAGCTCTGATTGTTTCGAAGGTTTAAAATAGTTGTTATGAGCAGATCATTTAAAATTGCATCAAATAAGCAATGAAATATTCAATAAAGGTTTTGTGTAGACAGACATCTTGACAGGGGATGAAGACTGCATGCTGGATCATACAAATATTGTGATAAGTTCAGATTACTTTTGGCTTTATTCTGAAACTTTATCATTTGTCCAGTCAAATGTAATGCATGTCTGTAACATAGCTATATATTTGTCATGTATCAGAATTAACTGAATAGCCTTAAACCCAATCCTTTGGTGAGTGAATACCAGCAGACATTCAAAATCTTTCTTAAGTAAAAGTAAGGAATTATAATCAGCAAAATATACAACTGAGTAACAAGCTAAGGTATTTTAGTTTGCATGTAGGCACCAGTTTAATATTGCAACTAGTTAAGGTAGCACTGATCACCATATATACTGCTGGGCTAATTTTTAACACACCATATTTTACAACATGTTAATATACAGTATTTTGTGGTAAAGTTGTCTTTCTTCTTATTATTGTAATGTAAATGTAGAGAAGTAAAAAGTACAATTCATACTATAAAGTACTAGAAAAGTTAAATATTCAGGTAAAGTATAAGTTCCTCAAAGCAGGACAATAAATGTGCCTTGTTAAAATCCATCATCAGTTTCCACTAATATGTAGCAGACAGACAACCATTGCCAACCAGCTGTTCTTTCTGGTGTTCATCAGTTTCAGCTGCCATCCTTTCATCCCACTCTAAACAGGAAGAGGTAAACAAGACTCGTCTATTGATCACACATTAGACTGATTTCCAACATAGCACACAGAAATTAAATGTGACAGGAACGGAGGTGGCTGCTTGGGACCATTTGACTCCAACACAATTTTATTTCACAAGGAGCAAGGAAACAAGTCTCTCCTAATGTCACATCTCTTTCATATGTGACTACCTTACTGATGAAATGGAAGAAAGATACACTGAAACAACTTTATTTGACATTTTTATAGGAACCAAAAAAAAAAATAAAATAAAAAAGTGCTGTCTTTCTTAGTGGGTGTGCTTGTCCACTTCTGACTTCACTCTGTACAACATAGCCTGTGGACAGCCAAACATAACCAGACTGCACCAGGCAGGAGCAAAACAGTAGTTAAAAATATATTAATAAAACTTAGAAAAACAAAGCTTTGGCATCTTGGAGAGAACGTGATCTTGGTTGAGACTGTTCAAGGCTGTGGTTATAGCATCATATCTCAGCATGTACGCCTCTGGTAGTTCAAGACCAGTTCGAGTTCAGTCTTCTCCAGCTGCTAAATGTTTCTTGTATTCCTATACAATAAAATAATGTTATATGAGGTTATAATGTGATGGAATTTGGCACAAAACAACTCAACTAATGTATGTTTAAAACATTTGCCCTCTCTTATTTGCTAATTAATTTCAGTTTCTTCCATTGTAGTGTATCTCATTTCAAATATTTTCTGAGGAGTAAATGCAGAACCACGTGGAATGCTTGTTGAGGGTTGTACTTTAATGTATTGTATTTTTTATTCTTGCAAATTAAAAAATAAAACCAAGATGGGTACTTCAATGAGAAGAGGGGAACCTCACTTACAGATAAGCTGTTAAGCTCTGATTTAGCCCATTTTGAGTTTGTGCCAGCAAAATGCTTTTTCAGTTTAAAAAATGCTTTAGGCTGCTTATGTGTGGCTGTTTTATTTGCACCAAACACGTTATAGCTTCTAAATGCCAAGAAAGTATTATATCATGGAAGACCAGTCTATATAAATGTGGTTAAGTGCTTACAGTTTATCTGAAATTTTCTACCATTTCTATGAAACCAAATTCTTACCATGCCTGATACAAAATATAACTGACACATTTTCTATTTCTCCTGCTGGGTAAAATAAATAACTTTCTCCTTGAGATATTGTAAACTTCACAAGTGGAGCCACAGTTTTCAAAAACTTTCAGATGGTCTATTATTCTGTGCTGTATGTCTCTGACAAACCTTTTGCCATATGAAAAGAACCAAGCACATATTATAGTAAGGTGCTTCTTTTATATTGAATTTCAGCCACTGTCATTTATTATAAAAGTCTTTATGTCTCCAGATTGATTTTAAAAGTGATTATTACTGTAACAATATTTGATTATACCTCAAGCAGTGCAGTGCATATACAGTACACAGACTTTAAGTATCAGGCACAGATATAGCAATGCCAATCTTTAGTTCTTCTGATATCTTCACTGACATGTCAGCATGAGACTTCCTTTTCCTCCTACTCTTATCAGTGTCCATTTGAACCAAATATAGCTCATTAAGTGAGAGACCATGACCTGACTGACTCAGGTTATGACCTGCTTTCCAGTCCTTGGGAATGTCTAGCATTCCCCCACTAGTGAGACTGAAAGAAAGAAAGAAACAGAGAGCGCTTGATCACATTTATAGCACACATGCAAGCAGGAAAGTACATGCTTAATGAATAAGACTATACACACTGATCCATCTGTGATTATTCATAAGTTAAGGGACCAGCAGCACACTAGGAAGTGTAGTCCATTAGGTTCAAAAACAAAGATTTCTTGACCCGTAAGAATCAGAAGGGTAACTCCTGGTGCCATTTTACAAAGCTGAAATAATTTCCTTTATATCAGGGTGTGAGGAAATATTGATTCAAATGAGCCCTTTCTATCCATGTTTGTGTTTGAATGATATTAATACAGATAATACAGATGTTTCTAGTTTCCAGTGGAGAGCCTAAAGGTCTTGACCTGTCAGTCAGAGGCTATTCTTAACTTCGTTTTCCCTATCAGTTGAAATAAGATATCTCATACAATGGTGAATGCAGTCTGTTGCATTTGACCCAGTTTCTCTTTGTAATTAGTATCAGCCACATGTTTTGACAGAAAATGACACATCCTTATTTGCTTGAACATGACTTTTTTAATTCTAATTTTGTGTCTCTTCTCTGAAGCAAAGAAAAAAACCCACTGATGTGCCTCTCAGATCAAAAAGCATGCTGGGTTATGTCAGCCAGTGGACCCAGGGTCAGGTCTCCACAGGGTGCCCCATGACATGATGACCCAGTCCTGAGGACTGGTATCCACATCAGCCCAGGAAGCTCTGTAGCAGGTGATGACACCAGATCATCTGTCAGACTGCTGCTTGACTCTTCTTGTCTGTTCCACTTTGCTCTTTCACTAATGTGTTTCACTGAACTCATGTTGGGCTCATTCTGACAGCAGGTTCTTCTTATTTTGTGAATTGTAGTGTATATACAAAGCATTTAATTGACTGTATATTTTATGAAAAGCAGAGACAAATATATTTACACCTTTGATCCAAGTCTTCTACTGTAAGTTATGATCTGAAGCAGGAGACCGTGTTTGTGCTTATTATGTCACAAGTCTGAGTCCAGGCCACAGCTGTCGTTACATATCATTGTCAGATCATTTTTGTTGCTTTTTATTATACTGTCTAACAAAACAGAAGCCACTAATCATTATAATAAATCTAAAAGATGTGTGTGTTGACCACGCAAAGTAGTTGAACATGTACAGTTAGTTCACATGCTGTATATTGCTTTTGCTATTGTGTGTGGTTGACAAAGAACATAATATTCAACTGTAGTGTGCAGTCAAGATAGCTGGTGACAGGGCAACAGCCTATAGTTTATGAACATATACTGTACAGTATGAGTCTGTATGTGCACATTATGGCAGGCATCAAAGAAAGGTGAACACAAAACAAGGGCTTTGAACGAATATATTTAACCAAACCTCCATATGGCATTAGTTTGTTCCCCCTGAAATGACAGGCTTTATCTACACTGTGTCATCTAATCTGATCAGCTTTCTACCAATGTCACACGTGTTCAGCTGGTATACACAGCCTGCATGCAGAATGTGGTACTGCCTGGTTCTCCTTTCCTCTGATCTAATCTCGTCATTTCCATGTATACAGTGAAACAGCAATTTTTGCATGTTTAAACAGGAATGGAAAAATTAACATTTTAGCACAATGATGAAAAACTGTCAGCTATGAGGTGGCTGTGTAGCCAGGCATTTAGTCAGTCTTTAAACACATTTCATGTGTTAGATACAGCATCTATGGGTCCTATTTGGATCCATCTGTCAGTTCTCATTTTGCATTCAGCCCCTCACAGAGTAGCGCTCCTTCTGATCCAATCGGCCCTCTCAGTCCACAGTTTCCAAATTCTTTAGGAAACACACAGTCAGAGATGCATCAGTTCCCCTTATGGAACCATATGGTTCAAAAGGTAGAGATAATGTGCTTTTTGTATATTTACTTGAAAGGATCCAATGACAGCTCAGATTTAAGTTACTGAAAGCAGTCATTTGACCACAGGCAGCAATTCCAAATGGCTGTTGGCATTTAAATGCATTTGCACGAATGTGGTCAGTAGCCTCAGACACTGGTTAAGTGGGAGGTTTATCGGCTGAGTGATTTCAAGATGGGTGCTTATCTTTGCAGTGCCAAGTTTTAAACTTCAGGAGAGATTTAAGGGAATAGTTTGACATTCTGTAAAACATGGGCTTTTTTTAATGTTAGATGACAGAATTAACACCCATCACATGAAGCTACAGCCAGGACACAGTTAGCTTAGCATAAAGACTGGAAGCAGTGCCCGTAAAACTCACACTCCTACCAAACCACAGCTTCTCACTTTTACACTTTTTGAACAGACTAAACAAATGAGACATAGTATGTTAATTTCTAAACTTTAAAGTTGCTTGTAGGCGTTTTGTTACCTTTGGACAGAGCTAGCTAGAGCTAGCTTTCCTCCTGTCTTCAGTCTTGCTAAGCTAAGCTAACTGCTTCTGGCTCTAGCTCCATACTTACCAGACAGATATGAAAGTGAGTGGTGCCAAGTTTATGATTTGAAGAGAGGTTATGTCCAATGTTTTTATTAATCTCCTAATGGCCGTACTTTTTCTGTGGAGTATGCAGTTTTGCAAACTGCAAAGATTCAATTTTATGGTTTGCGTGTGACCACTAAAACACACACAAATGTGGATATTCAAAAGCTAACCATCCATTCTTTAAAATAACATCCATCTGTTAAAGACATGCAGCAATAAATAATGCACTCATTAGCTCAGTTAAATGTTAACACAGACACATAAACACTGAAATACATCCTGCTTGCTGTAATTATTTCCTCCTGTTCATAAGGCTTGTTCCTAATGCAACTGGAATGCAAGTGATGGAGAACAACATCCACAGTCCTCATCCTCAGCAAAAGTGTTATTTTATGTGAAGCTAATGTGAAACTTCAGCAGTCTGAGTTACACATATTAAGTTTATATCTTCCAAAGTTCTTGTCTTTGTAGTACAAAGGTCCCTCTTAGTGTTCTTTTACCACAGTTCATAAGGAAAACACTGCTGATGAAAATACGAAGAGGGAATTTTACATTCAAATTTGAGTAAATTTGATTAACTGATGAATTCTCTTATTAGCTGTTATTAGCAAATACATTTTTATATTGAAAGTGTCAATTTTGTCCAGGAATAAAGCACATTGGAAAGGGTTCTTTAAATGTCCATTATGAACAGGAGTAATAACTAAAGCCCTGTTTCTAATGTGACACAGGGAAAAAATCTTTTCTGCAGTTTACAGGCAACTAAACAGTGTTGTTGTATATGCAGTATGGCTCATGGTGAAGGACTTACTTTCACCTACGCCAAAAATTTCAGTCCTGGTAATGGTCTCTTTAGGGTGAGCACTGTCCCCATTCCTTAACCTCATATCTGCACTAAATGTTTTACAAGCATGAGAATTATGTAAACCACACAAGCCATGACTAACCCTTCAAACCAGATCCCAAACCAGTTGAAAAGTGGATGCTCAAGTGTTGTTTAAGACAAGGTTTTTCCACTTTCATCAAGGAACATAAACAAAGTGATTGATTATGATTAATCAAAGCATTAAAGCTTACCAGTTCCAGATTTTTTTTCTAAATTTGTGCATGGTCCTAAGGTAAAAGTGAATCACAGTAAACTGGAACAGTCCCACAAAGGAACCAGATCCACCCCTGCACAATATGGCGATATGCTTTAAAAAGGATTCGAAGGCAGAAAAAAAATTGTACAATATGCTTATAGTTAATTACAGACTATATCAGTGGGATTATCCCATGTATCCAGCAAGTGTGTTGATCTTTGAGCATGCTGTGGTTTGCATTTAGATGCTGCCAAAACACCTTCATTTAGCAGCGTTTAAATATAAAGGGAAATTGAAGAGAAGATTAGAGATGTGAGGACACTTCTAATAAGAGTTCAGAGACAGTCTTTTTCCCAGACAAAGGAAACAATGTACAGCCATGGATCACATTAAAGCAACCCTAAAATAAAATGTGCCCTGCTGTGAGGAATTCTGTTACATCTGCTGTTAGTGTGGGGTGTGTTTCCTGGCACGGGCTGAAACCAACAAGTACTTTTCCCTGAAAGTAGAGTGACATGCATGAAATGTCTTCATTGTCCCATGAAGCACTGTAAATGTCATCAGTACCTTCACAGCACATCCTCACACCAGACGAGCACATGAATGATGCACAGGAATGAGTAGCACATTTGTTAAGTTCAAATGAGGAAGGAGAGACAAACTGATTGATAGATGCAATGCGGAAAGGACAGATGGCATTTTTAGCATTTTTACTGTAGATGAAGTCAGTGAAGATTTAAGACCTCTTAATCTCATTTTACTTAAAATGCCCCAGACCACCCGGTGCCTTTCTGTGCAGTGTTTGCATGTTCTCCCTGTGCCTGCGTGGCTTCTCTCCGGATGCTCTGGCTTCCTCCCACAGTCCAAAGACATGCAGTTTAGGTTGATTGGTGTCTCTAAATTGCCCTTAGGAGTGAGTGTGAGTGTGCGTGGTTATTTGTCTCTAAGTGTCAGCACTGATAATGGATGGATAGATGGCCTTTTAAATGTAAAGATATAAATCTATCGAATAATGAAAGGAATGAAGGATCTTTTATGAGTAAAAAAAGATTGGTCAGTGTTTACACCTGAACCAAAGCATCATGGTCTCAAAATTAGTGAAAGCTCTCATGGACGGGTTGGCAACTGAAACAGAATCTTAAAAAATGCTATGGATTGTTCGTCTTTGAGTGTATAACTATACATCCAGTTGAGCTTATTTGGAACTGGTTCAATTATGAACAAATTCCAGAGTCCGTAATTGGGTCCAAACATCTGAAGCTGATCTCAGATAACAGTCTGCTTCAACCTCTATATACATACAAACATGGAAGGATTTAAGTCCTGGCACAATGACCTTGATTCCATCATACACACAGAGTGAATATGCAGACTGTTGCTGCCTATCGGTATGCCAAGTATACAGCAATAGCATTTATGGATTACTGCATATAATGTAATGCCCATTCAATGCCAATGCCATATAAAAGTACTCTTTAGTCATTAGTTTTTTGACCAAAGTGGTAAAGGGAAATATCACAAAGTTAATATCAGATACATCTTCTTTGTCTCCCTTTCCTTTTAATTTCACCATCCACTATGACTGATTTAATTATTATAATTCCAGATCCTTATCTTTCTAATGACAGACTGTAGAACCTTTCAACGTGATACAATGAAATTAAAGGCAGCCTAATTAATATCTGTAGTCTTAATTCTTTAGACACAGTGTAATTGAAAGTGCCATAGTTTTCTAGCTCATGATAATGGAAATTAGTAGGATGGGTAAAACACTGGTGCCGGATCAAATCTGAGGCTGAACATTAAATACACTCATGTTCCAAGGTTACATCTTGTAAACTCTCTGTAATGACTATGTCATTATGGAGAACCCAGTGATTCATTCATCTCTGCTCCCTGGAGCAGTTTGCTTCTAGAGACACTGCTGCAAAATGACAGATATTATCTTTCAAGAGTTATGTTGCCTCTTGTTGCCTCCTTGTTTTTTTTTTTTGTTTGTTTGTTTCTCAAATCTGGTAAATATGCTATAAAATAACACATAATCAGAAAGCTAAATATTCCCTCATATGCTGATGGAGTCTGAAACTTAGCTTAAGAGAGTGAATACTCGACATTCATCAAGTAGTTGGAAACACAACTCCAAGTAAGGCAACAGGAATATTTTCCAAAATGTCGGTCCTTTTAACTTAGCTTGTATTTATAGTGTCTGCTTGTTTTACTGTTTTATCACATCCAGCCTTTCAGTTGCAACACAGGATTTATGTATGTTAGGATGTGCAAAGAACAAAAGACTATAGTGAATTCACACACATGGTGCTAATCATGTCATCACACACTGGTTAATATAACCAATGGACCAAAAACTCAAGGCTGTCCAACATGTAGGAGAGTACAATTAAAGGTTTGAAAACTATTAGTTCTGTACAAACAACCACACACGGCCCCTCATCTTCAGCTCCTGTTTCACAAACGATCCTTTGGTTATTAGTGTTCCCACAGAAATGTGAAATGTTACTTATGTATTTAGAAACTAACAGCCGTTGTCAGCGTAAACTGTTGCCAGCCTCGACACTTGGGGTCTTTGGTAATGGTCATGGTGGGTGATGCCGATATGTGTTTTCTGTTTCCATCTCTAACACAGTCTTTTGGATTCATGTCATTTGAATCCAAATCTGCCATAAAAAACTTCTTATTTAAGCAATTTTGTCCTAAGCCTGGTATCAAACTCACCCTTGTCCTTCTGCTAAAGAGATTAGTTCCAACTATTACTGTAACCAAACTCATAGAGCGGAAAAAATGTGTTATTAAAAAGTCAAGAAAGTGGGTAGGTAGAGAGTGATTAACTCTGTGAAATGTAGTAAATGCTGCTTATTATCTCTCCTCCTCCACATCTCTCCCTTTTCATTCAGTCACTTGAAGAGAAGACGAGAGGAGACGCTCCCAAACTAACTGCCCACTGGCCTACAGGCATTTGGAAGAATTTTTTACAATTGAAGAGGGAGGGAAGGAGCAAAAGTCACTGGCAGAGTCGAGAACTTTGAATCATTAGCCTGTCAACAGGTGGCAGAGGGAGAAGCCTGGTGAGTGGTGTCCAGTCCTCCAGAGCAACGAGAGAAAGAAAGCAGGCAGAGGAGCAAAAGGTTAAAGAAAGGGTAAGGCAGCTTTTTACTGTAGTTTTACTGTGTTTTTTTCAGTGATTCAAACTTTGAACTAAATTCACATCTCTGGCTGTCATCAGTCCAGTTAACCTGTAGGTGTGTGATTTAAGTAGGCTAAATTAAATCAATTTTCAAGACTATCAAGAAGCCTTTGCTGACATTTGTTAATTCTGCTGTACTGTCTGTTTCTACATAATTCCAATCCCATCTCCTTTTCTCTTGCTATCCATCAGGCTCCTCTATAGCCATCTTTCCTTCACTCCCTCTTTTTCTCTCTTCTTCATCTCACTTTTTATACATCTTCTGCACTATAATCTGATGGTCACTACGACTTGAATAAAGCACGGTGCAACCCAAGTTCTTCACCCACATTTTACTGTCAGTTACAGTCTAAAATTCCACTTGACGCTTGTAATTTATCATATGTCCTGGGGCATAAATTGCTCTTATGTTAGTCTGGTTTTGCATGGCAGCACTACCAAAGTCTTGGTCACTGATAAATATGAAGGGGTGATGGGGTTTGACACACTGAATGCAGTTATGTCATTGTGCATACTCTGAAAGCATCGTATATTGTTTCTTAGTTTGTTGCAATGAACAACAATGGAAGTCTTGACATGAAAAAGAGATTTAATCCAGATGCACTGTGGGAGCATTTTGAAATTTGGATGCAAAAAGTTCACAATTGACTTTGAACATGTATCAGTGTTCAGACAATGTTAAATAAATCAGCATCAACAACTGTGACAGCCATTAGTGTCTGGAAAAGTGTATTAAAGGTGATATTTACTATGCGTATATCCAATGCGTTCTTTTGCCGTATATGCCCCCCAAGCTCTGGAATACCTTGCCCCCTGAGCTTTGGTCTATAACAGAGTTAATGGTTTTTAAGTCTTAATTAAAGGCACACCTATTCAGACTGGCTTTTGGCACTTAATTTTTAGCAGTGGCGCTATACAGGTGCCTACAGGCTTTCTGGTTTTATATTCTGTAATCTTACTCTGTTTTGTACTTTGACTCATTTTTATTGTGCAGGAGTGTTATAGTTGCTCACAGACCGTTATTTTAAATTTGTGTAATTTTAACTTTTCTTTTATGTTGTTTATGTGTCTTAACATGTTCTGCTTTTATTTCTATATGCTATATGAAGCAATTTGAGCTCCCTTCGGTGTTGTAAAGCGCTATACAAACAAATAAATTATTATTATTATTATTATTAACATCCACATTGAATTTTACATAATTATATATTGTCTGTCAACAAAGTTTTCAGCACTGTTTTTCCTCTGTGATTTTAACATAAATATTTATAATGGCTACATGCTGGGGTGATATTCTCACAAGGCTGGTGATTCAGTAGATTTACCTTTAATGCTACTGTGCTGGATCAGGATATACACAGAAGCCCCTCAGAAATGAACTACAGATGTGGGCCCTGAGCCATGCGAAATGATAGATGGGGAAAGACAGAGAGAGAGAGAGAGCAGCAGAAGAGAGAAAGAGACCTCCAACCCTGAGTGGGTGACTTAGACGAAGTGTTCAGATTGCATAATGTGACTGCTTTCATTGAAACCTCACAACTTAGGGTTTTATCCTCATTTACTTTGACTGATTGAAAATGACCCTCTGGCACAGGAAAGCTACTAAAAACACATTTTTTGTTATTTCAAAAACTTACTCTGACCTAGAATTTAGGCTGTTTTATTAAAGCCCGGCTTGTCTTATGTTTCCTTCTTTTTGTTAGGTCAGATTTTCATTTGACAGCTCCACTGAGATGAACAGAGCCTCTATGGTTCTGATGAAACCTACGCTCCATAAGGCAGCAGGAGGCAGACAGAATTAAAAAATTATGAGCTCTGGTCTCAGATGATAATTGCCTTCAGCTTTGTTTTATTCATTTGACTTTCCCTGTTTTGTCTGCAAAAGCTGCTGTGAGGAGAGGAAAAGAATGTCTACAATCACTGCAAAGTTTGCAACCACACATTAAGGCATGACCTCACTGCTCATCGTTTATAGCCCTCTCGTTGTCTCATCCTCTGGCTTTTTGGTTTGGTCCCATGAGATTTGTCCTGAGTTAAAATCTGGCAAAACAGTTGGCCTTTTGTCTGAGGCTTAATGGCTCTCTAGAGAGGGCAGGGTGAATGTGCACCGATTTCTTCTTCTTTTATACTTCCTCTTTCTTTCTTTTTGTCTCTGTATTCCTAATATACGTTATTTTCTACAGCTGTTTGTCTTAGGTTTGCTTGTGGTCTGGCTTCCCCTCCCTTTCTTTCTTTCTTTCTTTCTCTCAGCCCAACATTTAGTGCAGTCAATTTCCAGTATTCAGGAAGTATAAGGAGATGTTTTTTAGAAACACACACAGCATTCCTCATTGCTTGTCAAGGAGTCTTCAGTAAACGGTGTCTGTTGATCAAAACAGAATTGTCTCTAGGTTATTTTATTGCTGCTGCTACTTTTGGAGGCATCTGACCCCTTGTCTCACACATATACGCATGCACGGGCAGAGTTCCACACACATCTGTCTTCTATATAAAAGAGCAAATACACACTACAGTCGGTCAACAAACATTTTACATGCCCATTGACATAGCCCTGCTTTGACATAAAGGACTTATTGTCAGGATGGAATTTTAACTGTGTTTATGGACATGTTGAATTTTACTTGAGATGGTTTGAAAGCCAGGTTGAAATGCTATCTGCACGGATTGTGTGGTGAGTGAAAGCATCCACTGGACTGGAGCCATTCTGTATTCAGGTTTTCCTGCGGTGTTATGCATATTGACTTGGAGTGACTAATGACAGTCAACTGTGTTTAGATTCTGGGCAGTGAAGCCAAGTCAGGGTTCAACATCTTTATGTTATTGATCCACTGAAGAATATTCAGTACATTCCTCATGCTTTATGCCTGTCTGCCTATCTACCTATTGTATGTATACATGTATACTCACACCGATGACTGGAGTCATCGGTGTAAGTTGGCGCAGCAAGTGGCTGCTCGGTTCTGTACCGGAAACAAATTCTATGTGTGTAACATACTTGGCCAAATTAAGGTGATTATCCTGATTATCCCTTATCCTTATATTTATTTTTATTTATATTTATCTATTTATCCATCTGTTCATCCACTGATATATCCATATTTGACATTTGCCCATCCATCCATCAACTGATTCAAACATCCATCCTCAACTTTCTTTGCATTCACCCAGCCATCAGTCCATATATTTATTGATCCATCCATTGAATCACCCAGGCATTCAGTCATCCATCCATCTCTTGATTCACTTACAAATGCATCACCCAGTACCTTCATTCATTATTCTATGCATTCATATATTTATCCATGGATTAATTGATCCAGTGATTACAGTAACCATCCATCCATTCTTTGATTTATTTATGTTTTACAACCACCTATACCTTTAATAATCTATTTGTACATCCATTCATTGATTATCATTAATTCACCCATGAATCATCTTTCATCATCCTTCTATTTATCATTTTTCCCTCTAACCATTCATCCATCCATCCGTCTTTGTTCTCCACACCAGATCAATCTCAGTAGTCAGTAGCGGTCCTCTGCTATGCTTGGATGGTCACAATGCTGTCTCCTCCAAGAGGAATAAAAAAAGGTCTGAAAACATCAAGCATCAAATACAATCTTGACAGGGAGCCACTGCAATTCCACATGGCTCTAGTATAACGCTGATAACGTGGCTAACTGTTAGACTGTCACTGATTCACACGCACTCCCTCCATCATCCTCGCTCACCTATTCACTCTCTCTCACGCACTTTATCTTACTTGCTCTTTAGGTTTCTCATCTCAATTTCTCTGACTTTCCATTTGTCTTTTTCCATCTCCTTCTCTTAATGTTTTTTAATGTCTTTTTTAACTTCATCTTTTCTGGTTTATCCTCCAAAATCCACTAAAGTCTAGGATTTGGCCAAAACATATAGGGTCAAAAAAACATTTTCCCAGTGATGTCATAGCTTGGATTTCTTACACAGGCACTGGTCTCAGACCTCAAGTTTTTGACAACCAGCAATCAAATAGGCAGCTAAAATAACCAAACAAGGTTGAGCATATTGAGTTTGGACTATTTCGAAACACATCATGGTAATTACACATCTATTTATCTCCTTAAAAAAGACTAAAGTAGTTTGAATGTCAGAACTACTTGAGTTACATCCTACATGAATCATCAGATGAAAGATTCCTTTTATTTTACTATAAAATAAATTGTGTCCAATTCCATTTCCACATGAGCCACTGAAAATACATAAGCTCAACAGGTCAGGTATTCTTGCTTACTTAGGATCCCTGCTCAGAATTTCTGTTAATGTACTAATGACGGCTGGGGGATTGGCTGATTCCAGGTCTCCCGTGCTGACATTTTAATGTTCTGGTCAATGCTCACTTCATGTCCAGTGGGATTTATGGGATCATGTTCCCTCTGTGCACAGTTTCTACATCTCCATCTGTTTTATTCTGATGCTCAGTGTGCATATGTTTTGATAACAGGGACTTTCACTTAGTCGGGTTTTTCTATACATAATTGTCAAATATCAGAGGTTTATTAAGATTTTATAGTTCAGCTAAAACTGGATTGAGAAAAAAGAGTTCTTTCAAACAAACTCAACATATTTATGTAAGCATGTACAGCATGTTATTGTAACACTATGCAGCTTTTCACTTGTCAAGGATCTCACACGTTATTACTGAGCTTTCAGTCACTCTATTAAAGGGTTTGTGTTTCCATAGACCACACATGCTCAGCAGGGTTAGATCAAAGGTTCCTTCAGCCACTATCTAAACTTTTACACCAGAAAGCTAAATTCAGCCCAAAGTCCAAAAAGACTGGGGTACTGTTTTGAAAGCATGTAATTTGGCTTCCTGGGGAAACCCGCTGCAAGGACTTGTTCACATGACATCAGTGTCATTAGACACAATGACATCATCAGGGAGGGCAAGTTTCCTTGAAACTTTGAAATGCCTGACTGAGCACAATTTATGGTTTAGAGCAAAAGGATCTGTGGCAAAGTGATGACTGCTCACTTTCTGCTGCCAAACTGTGGGATGAGGGCATAAAGCACACACATACAGTATATACACACACACAGCACAGTGACTGCACAGTTCAGACTATCTAAGATTAAATATACAGAAATGTGCCACGTTAAATGTAATGTAACTTATGTATCATCAGGACAGTATTTCTGTCCTCTGTTCTCAACTGTGACTGCAATATAGAAATGTGATTTTAACCCGGGAGGCTCTGCCCCAGTCAGCTGTGACAGTAAACATCAACTGTTTTTGTAGCCTGTTACTCAAAGTTCATACCAAAGATACAGTCTCTACAAATGTATATAATCACACTAAAAAAACAGAATATATACCTCATCTCCACATAAAGCTTTGCCTCATGCCACCCAATGACAATTTACAGCCATGTGTGTAGAGATGTCCTGGAGGACAGCGGTCTGGAACAATAATTGCTATTCAAACTACAAAATATCCCTATTCATTTTTACAATTTCATGAAAACAAAAGCTTTATAATAGGTTCTTTTGTTTGGAAATGGCCAATCCCCTGTGGTTTTCACTGTTCTACTGTAAAACAGTTACCTCACAGCCAGTGTTCTGCATGGTCACAAATGCTGTCTGAATTTAGAAAAAGATATAGGGATTCCCTAATGGTATTTTTATGCCTATATCATTTGTTGCATTACATATAACATACACTTGAAACTATTATCTTTTCCACAAATCAGCTCATAATTGGCAGTCGACATTTTGTGTTTCCCGTGTGAACTGAATGTCTGCAGTGTGAAGTTCAGAAACATTAACGCATGTCTGCTCTCATCTTGTCTAGCCATGACCACTGGAATCCTGCTGAGGGTTGTGTGCCTGCAGGCCCTTCTCTGCACCAGATCACACTTCAGCTCTGCCGACACCCATCCAGACCTCTCAGCCCCAGAGCAGGGAGTCACCTTCAGCCACATCTATAAAATAGACATCCCAGGGAGCTCAAGCTGTAAACTAGAGAGTCTGCCAGCCCAGGAAGCAGGTCATAAACAAAACTAAAAATGAGAGAGAAAGATTGCAAGTGAGAGCAAATATAGACAAGAGGGTCATGAGTGAAATACTGTATGTGTACACGCTTTATGTACACTGTGTGCTGATGCACACCATGAACCAGAAAAACAATAATAATAACTTTATTTATATAGCACTTTTCAATAGAATAGAAATGTATTCATAAATTAATTATAAGAAGAATGTCAAGAATTATATTTGACCATAGAGATAAATTTATATTTAACTTAACCCTGCTATATCAATGTGTGTGAGCATCGTGAGCTGTCACAGTAAATTTGGTGATTAAAAAGTTTAATATTGTTGTATGTTGCAGGTTTGCAGACAGAGACTGCTACGGATGGAGAGAATGACATCATCTTCAGACACAACATCAGGCTGCAGACAACCAAGTGTGACTGTGAGGAGTCCGAAAGCTTCAAGTCTTTGTTGTACAGAATCAATGGGTTGGAAGAAGAAGTTAACTACCTAAAGGCCCAGTGTACTCAGGGATGCTGTGGAAGAGGTGATGCTGCAGGTAAGCTGCTCCTCAACCTAATATATTTGGAAAGCTGTGTTTGGAAGGTAACTCTTTACCCAGAATTCATAGAGTGGAGGTTGCAGCAGGGAGGAAGTTGTAGACTTTCTTATTCTACCCACTAATAAGAATATATTCTACACGGGTCAGTTATTTTATAATATCCATATAAGCAGCAATGTAATCAATAAAGAGCAAGTGAAGAGATTTGCAGGGACCACTATATTTATATCCTGTACCAACAGTATAAGTGATCTATCACCTGTGCACCCTTTTCTGTAGGTGTGGACACAAGCTGCAGTGGCCATGGCACCTACCAGCATGACACCTGCAGCTGCCTCTGTGAGCCAGGATGGGAAGGCTCAGATTGCTCGGTGTCTTCATGCCCTGACGACTGCAATGACAACGGCCGTTGTGTGGATGGGAAATGTGTGTGCCATCAGGGTTACACAGCAGACGACTGCAGCCAGCTGATGTGTCCAGACAACTGCAATGACAAGGGCCACTGTGTGAATGGAAAATGTGTGTGTTTCCCACACTTCACCGGCGAGTACTGCAGCATACAAAAGTGCCCGAATGACTGCATCGGGAACGGCCAGTGTGTGAATGGCCACTGCATCTGTGATGAAGGCTTTTATGGGGAGGACTGTTCGTTAGGTAAGCTATTCAAATTCTTCACACCACAGAGTTTAGGGGATTGTTTTCACTGTATTTATAACAACTTAACTATTATTTTGAATGGTTGTTTTTTTGTGGCCCTTTCCCAACATAGATCATTTCATCAATCAACATTTGGCCCTGTGTGAAGTTCTTATCCAAGTACCAGCAACATATCCTGTCACTTTTTGATATGCTGTGTGCTCTGGTATCCAATGTCTGAGTGAGCATATCCCACCATAATCTTATTTATGGGTAAATATATATTCGGGGTGCAGTGAAATAACATTTTTACAGTAGGATCTTGCATTTAGTTTTATTTGTTGTTGTCATGAGACTTAAGATTCACATTTAACTCTACATATAGTCATCTCCATGGCTCTGCTGACATTAAGTAGTGAATATTAACCGCTTTCTTGTAGAAGACAGATGCTAAATGAAGCTTTGGGACCAATAAAAATATAATACTTGCCCCTAGTGCCCAGTTTACATTCATATAAATTTCCTTCCCATGGCTGAATGCATTATAGCAATGCTTGCATTAGCAGATCTACCACCATCTATTTCATGGCTTTATAAGCAGCTGTCAATCTGGCCTTGTTGTTATTACTACAACTCAGCATCAACAAACATGAGAATGCTTTCTGAATGTCTTCTTTCTGAATCAGACCCAGGAGAGGGGAATTGTTCTTTTAGGAGATTTGTTAGCATTGCAGCTAAGCAGATTATTATTATTATTATTATTATTTTACCAAAGTTAAACTGACTATTGAAACAAACTATACCACCAGCATTTACTGTTGCAGCTTTCTCCCCATCCCCAACAAAGTTGTATGGCTTTTAGTCTTGGTGGCTTTTCTAACATATAATGATTATAATGACCAGCAGCAGAGGGCTTGAACTAGAAGAGCTTTCTCAAACAGCAGCAGATTCGATACCCCGACTGTTGATGAAAGAGAGTAGCTGGTCGGGGAGCTCGGCCAGGTTGTCCTTGGCCAGGCGCGCCATGCTCAGGACCTGGTTCCCTGAGCGGTCGATGTAGTCCAGGAAAGGAATGAACTGGATGGAAAAAGGAAAAAGGTCTGACGATGACAACAGTGAACTTTTCCTTCATTTGGCATTTGTGACATTGTTAGTTGCTGGTGGTGTGTAGTTTGTAGTGGCAGTGGCAAATCTGTTCAGAATTAGTCTTGGTTTTATTTCACTGAATTCATTTCCTTATGTTTGATTTATTTAAGGTTTTAAATTTGGAGCTTCAGTAACTGCATCTGCTACACATTACTGATACATTAACAAATGTATAGTCTTCACAGTGTGGCAGACTAGAGCAAGTGCTCCAAAATGTTTTACCAAAGACTCTAGTCATTTTAAGAAATAGTGTAAGAATGGTATAAAGATACCGCGTTTTGGTTGTTTGCAGACATACTTATGAGTGACTAAAAAAAGCATGTCCTGCTAAGTAAAAACAAATAAAACAGTCAACATAAAAAAAAGCCACAAAAAGTGATTCACTGCAACACTGGGGGAGTGATGCTCTTAATTTGGATAGGCAGCACCAATATACAGTAGATCGTTTTGTACTTTTGTAGATACTCAACAATCTTGCGACCTGACAGGTGAGCAAAATTCAGTACTCAAATACTCAAAATATGCTATTGTCTGCAGTCTTGTGACATGCACTTAAATCCAATAAGAAACCCACATATACTTGGCAGAGAAATTGGTTTGAAATGGTTTCAGACACTGGGGGGGGGACACTCAAGTTTATTCTAAGGAGATGTTTATTCTAATGTGTCCTTTGTCCAGATGAGAGTTTTTTTCTACACATGGTGCCATTAACTTTTCTACCTCTGTGTTTCTCTTGTTTCTATTCTTTTGCACTAGCCCTGATGAAGGTTTGGTGCAGACATTAACAAAAAAAAAGAACAGCGCAAATGCTAAATGAGTCTTGTTTTATTTTTTTTTTATTATTATTCATTAATAAATGTGGGAAAAACCGGAGTGCCCGGAGTAAACCCGTATAACTAAACAAAATAATGAATGAATTAGAGGAATGAAATTAACTGTGGTGTGCAGGGTTGGACGGTGGGACTTCATCAAAGAATGGAAAAGCGTGTACGCTTTGATGATTTCTCTGATCTCTGTTTGGCTGCTCCAGCAGATTGCTTTATTTCTTCACACAATCATTTTTTTGGCCCAATCCTCCTCAAATGTAAAGATGCTGTATGAGAAAAGCCTCTGGTGGTCTGGGGTGGGTGTGGTTTGAACTGAGTCTGCCCATGTTTGAACTGCAGTGTATCTGAAATGGGTGGAAGATGTACAGGCTTTGACGTTTGCTTGGACTCCAGTTTGAATGTCCTAGCTGATCGCTGCATGTCAGATGAGCTCTTTGTAGCGTTAGTGTTGCCTCTGGTTTCAAGGGTCTGATGTTGTCTGAACTGACCTTTATTAAGAATGGGTGGAAGATGTACAGGCTTTGATGCATGCTCAGCTTGCTGTGTGTCTGGCAGAGTTCTTGGTGGACATGGTGTAAACAGAGGTCCTTGTACTACATTCTGTAGGGGATTCTTGATCATATTTATATTTTTCGCCCTAATCCGGTTCAACCGTACAGATGCTGTCTGAGGAGAGCTTGCAGTGCCACTTCTGAGGGGACGACTTGGCTGTGAGTTGAACTGAGTCTGCGGGTTTGTGTGTTTAACCTCAGAAATGGGTGTAAGGACACTGTGTTTTAAAGGCATCTTTAGGGCCTTTACATTATTGGCATACATTTGAGCAGGTGTCATGCTTTTCCGTGCAATTTTCTCTATGGGGTCTCTATGGGGATTCTTGATCATATTTATATTTTTCGCCCTAATCCGGTTCAACCGTACAGATGCTGTCTGAGGAGAGCTTGCAGTGCCACTTCTGAGGGGACGACTTGGCTGTGAGTTGAACTGAGTCTGCGGGTTTGTGTGTTTAACCTCAGAAATGGGTGTAAGGACACTGTGTTTTAAAGGCATCTTTGGGGCCTTTACATTATTGACATATATACATACATACATGGTTTCCCGGTCAATTTTCTCTATGAGGTCTGTGTAGTCTGGTATTGGTGACGAAGGTGGTGTTGGCATTTGAACATTTATTTCCTCCTGCTCCTCATCAGTGCTCTCCTGCTCCTCATCAGTGCTCTCCTCGGGGCAGAGATCTGTGGCATCCCAGTGGTCTTTCCCAAAGATGCCTATGCAGCAGCCTGTGTTTGTCCATAGTCGGACATTGCAGTCCAAGCCTGCGGTAATAATGTTTTCACAATCTGAACTGCATAGTGCACTCACCACACCTCCAGAATGAGACTTCCAGGAGCCCAGCAGTGGTGGTGGAGACAGTGAGACACACCGGCCATTTATATCTTCAAATGGCTTGGTGTCTGCCTCTTCCCTAAAGCCAAATTCGTGAATATCCCACAGGTGAATCCTTCCTGTACGTTCCCCTGTCAGTAGTATTTGTTCACTGATGTCAGTTGACATAGTGGTAATGACTGCACCTTCAACATTCACTGCCTTGAATTCTGCCAACAGGCCTCCCTGTTCATCAATAGACCAGGCACAGATGTAGCCATTTTCAGAGGTCAGCAGTGTGGCTGTGTTAGCACAGGGCTCCCTCGTCTTCAGACATTTCATAAGAGGTCTGATAGTCACACCTGTCTTAGATTTTGACAGAGCTGTGGCTTTTTGGTGTGGAGGAATCTTTCTGGTGTCTCTGACACTCTTTGCTGTCCTCTCGACAGGCAGACTCCTTTGGCCTTGAGCTGCTTTGGCTGTCATTTGTGTTTCAGGGCTCATACTGGTATTGAGACAGCAGAGAGCCTTAGCTGTATCAGCATTCCAGATAACAATAGTTCCATTGCTGGAGGCTGCAACCAGCAAATTGTTATGCACATCCATAGAGGAAATGTCCTCTAAATATTCGTGCTTGAAGATCCTGTGGTTACGGTTGTTCAGATCCAGGTCAAAAATGACCTTGGAGTTCCTTCCTGATACAAACAACCTATTCTTTCTGCAGACCATACCTGTCACCTCCTTTGGCACAGTGACAGAAAGAACAGCAAGCTGTGTTCCGTTGTGAAAGTTCCACAGTCGGACTTTCCCATCCTGGGAAATTGTGATTAGTCTGCGCTGTGGTTCATCAAATGTCATAGCGGTGAGCCCCACATGCTGATCTGGAGTGACCTTAAACTGCAGGACGGCCTTTCCCGTTAAGATATCCCATACTGTCACCACGCCATTCTGACAAACAGAGACCACCTGTTTGAAAATGCTGTTGTAGAGTGCAGAGCACAGGGGCTTTTTGTGGGATCTTAACATACTCTGAAAAACATCTGTTCCTCTTCCCAGACATTTCCCTATGACTGCTGTGTTAGCTAGGAACAGCTCATTATTGTGTGTGTTATAACACACACAGGAGACTGGGGCTTGTGTCATACCGTCAGCCTGGAAGCTTTGCCTGCACTGCCGGTCACCTTCAGACCACACGCGCACATTCTTATCCTCAGATAAACTGATGAGTACTTTGTCCAGGTGGTTATACATGATGTGGGTGACTGGTGTGACGTGTCCTTTCAAAACATGTACACAGTACGAGATTTTGTGTGGAAACCACACCCGCAGTGAGCCGTCTGTGCCACCAGTCACCAGACACCCAGTAGAAGGGAAGAATTCCACGCAGGTGAAAAACTCATGTCCTGTGTTCTCAGTCGGGGAGGATAAGACACATGTTGATACTTCGGCATTGGGTGACATTGGGAGGTCAACGAGGACCAACATGTCGGATGATCTGGGGATGATGGCGAAGGAGTACAACTCTGGAATGTATTTGATCTGGCTGCACACATCATCAAAGACATGGGTTTTAATACACAGAAAGTCTTCAGACTCGTTTTTTAGCAGGGCCGAAACATAAACGTCTCTAACTTTCTGCTGAAGAATTTCCTCATATGCCTTTTGAAAGAAGAGGCCATTTTT